ATCTATTTTATTCTTTTAGAGGAATATTAATTCCTAAATTAACAAGAAATATTATTTTTTTATTAAAATAATTAATTAATAAAAAGGAAATATAGGATCCTCTTAACTGAAATTAAAAATTAAAAAAATGAAAAATATACATATGAGCGATTTATACGATACACTTATTTCATCTGTTTTTCCTTACTTTCTCTTGTTAACAATAAATAATTGATATTCTCCTCTTTAATCAATAAATTATAATATTTTACTAAAAGTTTAAAATTATAATATTTTTCTAAAAGTTTAAAATGGATTATACTCCTGTTGAGTATTATGATATGCTTATAATTTATGGTGAATGTGGTCAAAATGCGACTCTTGCCGCACAAGAGTACTCACTACGGTTTCCAGAGCGTAGAGCTCCGACTCAAAATGTAATTTTGCGGTTGATAAATCGGACACGAGAAACAGGATCTGTAATACCCCAACGCAAAAATATTGGCGCCGGACGTGAACGATACGCCCGTACAAATAAAAATGAAGAAGCAGTTTTAGAAATGTGCGAAGAAGATTCATCTACAAGTGTACGCAAAATCAGCCGAAGATTAAATATCTCGAAGAGTTCAGTACAACTCATTTTAAAAGAAAACAAGATGCATGCTTATCATTTCACCAAAGTACAAAATTTATTACCGCAAGATTATGCATGCAGAATTTTGCACATGGTTATTGGCACAAGAACCGGATTTTATCGAAACAATTTTATTTACGGACGAATCCTGCTTTACGCGAGAGGGTTCTTTTAATACGCACAATTTTCACATTTGGAGCAATGAAAATCCACACGAATATCGAATTCAAAACTATCAACAAACTATCAACGTTTTAGTATAAATTTGTGGGCCGGTATACAAAATAATTTAATCGTAAGTTTTCTGTTTATTATTTGTATTATAGCTTATATAATAAAAAAATTATGTAATATTTTGGATGTAAAGTTTGTTTTAGAATAATGTATATCTATGTATTATCTATAACATATTAAATTACAGATTGGACCGTTTGAAATGCCCATGAGACTTGATTGTAATATTTATCAAAATCACCACATAATGCGAGATGTGTACGCCAATCTTTGAGTGAAAAATTTCCGGGTAGATGGCTAGGACGCGGTGGTCCTATAATTTGGCCAGCACGCTCACCCGATCTGACGCCTCTGGATTATTTTTTACGGGGTCATATTAAAGAATATGTGTACAAGGAACCAATTAATACTCGAGAGGAATTACGAGACAAAATTGTTGAAGCAATCGCCACAACGACACCAAACATGATTAGAAACGCAACAAACAGTCTACTGCGACGCGCATAATTGTGTATTGAATGCGATGGAGGACATTTTGAACATTTATTATAAAAAATATTTTAATTTGTTATTTAATCTATTAAACTGTTTTGTTGTTATTAAAATTCATTAAATATGTTAAAAGTGTTAATTTTTTAAAGTGTGTTAAATTAAGGTTTATTAAATACGTTTGAAGTGTAATTATTGTTTAAATTGATTTTTACTAAAACCATTGCAATTTGTATTTCGTTATGAACATTCCAAAATGTTCTAATATACAAAATAAACAGCTATTAATTCTATTACAATTTATTTGTCTTGTACAGCGTAGCATAGACACCTTTATGGTAATGTTAATCGATGACTTTGACAGCTCAAGTTGAAATATGCAAATTTTTACTTAAATTATTTTTGATATGCCTTTAGTTTTTACATCTTTTATTTGTAGAAAAATGTATTAATATGCAATACATAGAGAAGCGAAAATATATTGCAAATTTTTATGACAATAATATCATGAAAAGAGCGCCCTATTAATAGGAGCACTTTTTGCATTTGTCATTTTTCCGTACCTGAGCGCGCGAAATCTGAGCCCTGCCATTCGTTAAATGTAATCGCTTCCCGTTTAAAAGCTATTATAGTCTCGACATTTGTGTGTTAGGATTTTCTTCTTAAAATATTGTAAGAAATCTACCATTAAGAGCAATTCCGGTGGTTTTAGGACACCTTGTGTGTGTGTGTGTGTGTGTGTGTGTGTGTGTGTGTGTGTGTGTGTATGTGTGTATATATATATATACATATATACAGGGTGACCCATTTTAATCTATAATTCCGAATATCTCCTAAACTACCCGTTCTACGGGAAAATAGTTGCAACAAAAAATATTCAGGACAGAAAAGTTCACAAACCTGTGCTAATGACCTTGACCTTGAGATGACCTTTTAAGGTTATTTGAAGGTTAAGGTCTTTTTTTCAAAGGGAATCCCTATTTTTAACTCCGGATTTGGAAAGAACAGGAAATTTTACGTTCAAAATGATATTTTGAAAATTTTTTATATGACCTTCAAAGGTCAAATAAAGGTCAAATGTCTAAAAATGGCTGTAGAGCTGTTTTTCTGAGTGATTATGGTTTTTTAGGATTGACAAGCGTTGGAGGAACTTTAAAAAGTAAGTGTGATACGCTATGACCTTCTTGACCTTTAAGTTAACTATGAAGGTCATTTGAAGGTCGAGGTGATTATTTGAAATAGGAATCCCTATTTTTGACGTTGTATTTAAAAAAGCAGGAAATTAACATGAGTAAAAACATGTCTTCGCGATTTTCATCGCTCGTGTGAAATCCACTACACAAGGTGAAAATCGCTTTCTTGCTCGCTCATTGGAGTGAGATATTCTTCTTACTTTTGGCGTTACCCAGAAACAACGACGTGGACGTAGTAAGTACTGTTTCCTTTGGGGTGTTCAAGACGTGTACTGAATGGTAAAGGACGGATCGCTTGAGTCACAGCGCAGCCCGATAATATCGCGCAGCCCAATAATATCGCGGATGTCGCGCATGGCGATTAGAAGACAATGTACCACTGTCTATACTTAAACCGCTGTGCGGCAAGATGTAGGAGCGCAGCGGTATAAGAATAGTGATAGCGAAACTGTATATAGCGCGCGGATATCCGCGCGCTATATTATTGGGCTGCGCTGTGACTCAAGCGGTCCGTCCTCTACCATTCAGCACACGCTTTTCCTTAATCTTTCACAATTAATTACTCGACTATTATTACGAATTTCACAAAACGGTATAAGACTTTTATGTTCACATCAACTCATTCTACATCCTCACTAAATGTCCGGAGTAGAGTGTGAGACACCATGTATATATATATATATATATATATATATATATATATATATATATATATATGTGTGTGTGTGTGTGTGTGTGTGATTTTTATTATATATATTTTTTATTGAAATTTGAATAGAATATATATATATATATATATATATATATATATATATATATATATATATATATATATATAT